TCGAAGAACCTCTCACCGTATATTTGCCCGGCGCCACAGTGTCGAAAAATCGTGGGAGTACGCCCATGCGCTGTACATGTTTTGTGAACTTAGAAAAATCCTATGACCGGATCCCACGCAACAGTCTGTAGACATGCCTTCGTGCATACGGGATAGATGGCCAACTGCAACGGGCCATCCAATCACTGTATTCTGATAGCAGGTGCTGCGTCAGAGTGAATGGCGCTAAGACGAAACCATTCAACGTTCGCACTGGTCTCCGCCAAAGCTGTGTCATGTTCCCTATCCTGTTTGTGTTGTACATGGATAAAACAGTCAGGAGCTGCCAAGGCGATGACCGTATCGGTGCAGGAGATGCGAAGTCAAGAAGGTTGCTGTTTGCAGACGACCTAGTTTTATTAGCATCTTCTGAAACTGATCTTTTTTGTTCCTTAGAAAGGTTTGCAGCCGAGTGCGACGTGACCTGCATGCGTGGGAACGCATCTAAAACGAAAAACCTAACGCTTTTTCGTTCTCCTGCCCGTTGCTCTCTTCAGGTTAACAGAGAGGCAGTGGAGCAAGTGGAAAAGTTTAATTACCTCTGAGTCGTATTCAATAGTGATGGAAAATTGGAGGAAGACAGGCGAATTGGAGTAGCTAGTGGAGTTCTGCGTGAAGTAGCACAGACCACCGTGACTAAATCAGAGCTCAGTCTGAAAACTAAGCTCTCGGTGATCAAGTCGATCTTTATCCCCATGCTCACCTACGGTCATTAATCGTGGACTATCACTGAAAAACTTCGAACCCGGGTATAAGCTGCTGAAATGGGCTTTCTTAGACGAGTCGCGGGCCTTACGCGTCTCGACACGGTCCTGAATACTGATATCTGGAAGAGCCTTGGAATACAGTCTGCTTCTCCAGACTGAGAAGTCACAACTGCGATGGCTTGGGCATGTGTTGCGAATGCCTCCAGGAAAGAAGGCTAAGCAACTGTTCCTTGTAAATCCGGCCAGCAGAATTCCCAGGGGACGGCCAAGATTAACCTGGTGCAAACACATTGAAGGAGTTTTTTCCAGACTCGAGGTGTCTTATGCCGAAGCTCAGACTCTGGCACAGGTTCGGGAACGTTGGAAGCTGTGTTGGCGTGTCTACCTCCACGACCCAAGAGGAGAAGCGGCGATGGGAGATGATCATGAATTAAAGAGATGCAAGTGAATCAACTTTGAATGAACTTCGCTTGGTAACTTAAGCTTTGTGCCATAGTGACCTGCCACGGACATTTATAAAGGCTCCCCAGCCTAAGATAAGCGCCCAATTTTTGCACCAGTCAGCTCAATGCCCAATGAAAACTATCAATCATCTAACTTTTGAAACAGGATGTAAAAATCCACGCATGGCGAAACGTATGAGAAATGTCAGAAAAGGCTGACAGCTACTGATTTCATTTATGAAATATCGCTGGTTGGCAAGGAATGATCTACAACCAGTCGCTTATTTCTAGTCTGTAAAGGTGATCACTTAATTTTAATTTGCTTACTGTCCTTACAAGAGGTTTACACGCTTTCAACGGCATATTTAATCTTTCTAACAGCACAGATTTTATTAATAATATATGGGCATAAATACAAAAAACATACAGGTAACACGAAGTGGCAACATAGCGTAATCTGAGTCATAAATAAACAATTTAAAGCAAATCTGCAGCTCATCGAGACTTCTTTACTAGAAACGTACAATAATTTATAACACATACATTAGGAAAGCCGTAAGGTAAAATCGTCCACGTGCCTTTCAATTTTACCTTTCAGTTCGAAAGCCACCGTCACGTGAATGCTGGCACGTCACCATGTTACTGTACCTTTCCGATCGCAGCTCTAAACGATTCGTCTTCTAATTATGATCTACGCTGTCGCACTCTGATGACTCAGAAGGTTGGCTTGTACTTTCTCATTTCGACCTTCAAGTGATGAATGTTCACAAGTTTGTTCTTGGCAGAGCTGCTCGCAAACATTGGAAGGGAGATCAACTTCTGGAATCGCTGATGGTAATGAATAAGCAACGTCAAGGCATTCTGAAAACAACATACGATAATAAAAATCGGTCCTAGTATTAAGATTTAAAGAGCGTACCTGAAGAATTGCAGTCCCATTTCGAAAGTTGCTGAAACTTGTCATGATTTCTTGGTTGATCCTTTCTATGTTCTGCTTCCATTCACTATTAAACGCCTTCGTTATCGACGGTAGCAGGCCTGAAGAAAACTACTGCAGGCAATGAAAGAGCTTTAACAGAAGTCACAGCAAAACGACTAATGCGAATGACGGCAAAAAAAAACTTCACTGCCCTACGTAAAAACTAAACAAGCCAAAGTTGCATATAACAACACTGGATGGAGCTGGCTCAGCAACAGTAGCAGCTTGTCTCTAACATTCGTTTTAGATGACATTTATCGGTATCTGCCTTCTCAACTTTAGAGCACTCGCTGCCATCGGTGGCATCTCTGCATCTTCTTGCTTTTCAAGTCATCAAACTTCTACCATGCTCAAACTTAACGCTCAATATGCC